AATTTGGGAGTGTGGGAATTTGGGAGTGTGGGAATTTGGGAGTGTGGAAATTTGGGAGTGTGGGAATTTGGGAGCTTGGAAGTTCGGGAGTTTGGGACTTTGAGAGAGTGGAAATTTGAGAGCTTGGAAGTTCGGGAGTTTGGGACCTCGAGAGAGTGGGAATTTGGAAGCATAGGAGGTTGGGAGTTTGGGACTTCGGGAGAGTGGAAATTTGGTACTTTGGAAGTTTGATAGTTTGGGACCACAAAAGTTTGCAAGTGTAAAAATTAAAAAATTCATAAACGTCCTCCTAAACATATTAATCTTCCCAAAATTAAAAACATCACAACTACTCTCTTCCGTCCAAATAAACATTCAACTTCCATATATATCAACAGGTAGAACCACTAGAGGAGCACCTCTTCTTCCTGGACACTCCAAGATGGCGTCCTCTCCGGCCGAAGTTCTCCACAATCTTCAGCTCCGGCAACCTAAAGGAAATGTTCAACCTCATCTTAAAATGTTCAAACGACCTAGAAAAGTACATGGATAAAGTGATAGGTAATGGTGGCCTCGTAGAATGTCGCGAATTGGCAGGCAAATATACAACAGACGTGATTGCCAACTGTATGTTCGGTCTGGACATAAGTACTCTACCGAACGAGGACAGCGAATTCCGTGAGATGGGCAGAAGAGTATTCAAACCTTCTAAGACAATGGTCGTTAGAGATACCCTTAAACAGTTTGTACCTGGTTTGTACAACTGGATTGGCCATGCAGTGCAGCCTGAAGGTGTGATTAATTTCTTCACACGAGCTATGTTAGATACAATTAAGTATAGAGAGGAAAAGAAGATATTTAGGCCGGACTGTATAAACGTGCTTATGGACATTCATCAAAATCCTGAAAAAGCAGGAAGTTTTAGTAAGTAGTTGTAGGGTGATTAGAGTATTTGAGTATTTGAATTTGAGAGTATAGGATATTTATAGGATTTTGAGTAACAAATTTTATTTCGTTCTGTAGAACCGACGGAACAATTGCTTGCCACTCAAGGATTCGTCTTCTTTTTGGCTGGATTCGAAAACACTTCGTTGACAATATCGCATGCGCTCTACGAGTTGGCTCAGAATCATGAAATTCAGGATAAATTGAGGGCTGAAATTCAGGAGGATTATGCTGAGAACGGCGAGACTTTGACGTACGATCGTATTAGAGATCTTAAGTACTTGGATATGGTGTTCAAAGGTACGTATGATGCAAGGGTTAAATGCATTTACATAATGCTACAGTCCGCCATGTTTGTTTTGTACGATGCCTCTCCTACGTGGCAACTTGAACTTAAGATTTCATCTTTTATAATTTATTTATACTTTCATTTATATAACTGATTTATTTATTGAAATTCGTAGCTTTTTTTTGTGATGCATATTTCGACTTAGAATAATTCTGCTGCTTGATAATGGAAGTTTACTCTTAATATCATTTTCACTTTATACATCATAGTCGTTCATTAAGTTTAAAATAGCAAAATAACAATTTGATAAATTGTAAAATTGTATGTGTCCAAACAAAATTTCTTTAATAGTCAATTATATAACTTCATATAATTGAATTGATATGAACAAACATTTTACCATAAAATTTTACATCATCCATAAATCTTAAGTATCTCACTAATTTCATCTTTCTCCAAACACAGAAACCTTGAGAAAGTACCCAGTTCTGACAACCTTGTTCCGAGAGAACATCGAAGACTACACCTTTAAAGGAACAGACGTAACAATTCCCAAAGGCACCAAAGTTTGGATACCAGTATACGCAATCCAAAACGACGAAAACCACTATCCAAATCCTGAGAAGTTTGATCCCGAAAGATTTACCAAAGAAGCTGAAGCAGCTAGACATCCCATGAGCTATCTGCCATTCGGTGATGGACCAAGAAACTGCATCGGTACGTTAATACATTTAAACATCTCAAGAACTTAATTTTTACAGTACTGAATCCGTACCATTATTTTCATTATCGATATTTTCTAAAATGACGAGTTCTGTACTATTATGTGTCCGCCATCTTGAAGCGTAAGAGGGTCGCCATGCTGCAGGGATAGATTCCCCGTGGAAAATGAAGCTGTCGCAAAATTTGAACCAGGGGCGACTAGCACACGTGGCAAACTAAAATATCGTTATAATATTAGAACTCGTATTTATTTATATTATATTTCTGTTTCGGTTTTAAACACCGATGACGGGAGACGTGTATGCTAGTGGCGCCACAGGTGGCAAAAAGTTGAAGCAGCATCTCCGTTCATGCGATTATCAACCGCGTAAAAGGAAACCACGCTAAATCATTTCCTGTAAACCTAGGACTCAGTACAATGTTCAATTTATTTAAAAAATTAGAAGTCTAGTAGAAAATCTATGTACACACATATTTATTAGGACTCCGGGAAAATATCAAATCTTATTGAACAAGATTTGCGATATAAATACATTTTCAGTTGAAATTTTCGATTTCGCACTGTCAATGATTTTTTTGATGCACTCAGATTCATTTACTGAATATCTATACTTTTGAATGATTGTAATTTATAATTCGTTCTTCCAGGTGCCCGTTTCTCACAGAACCAAGTCAAACTCGGAATACTGACAGTCATAAGAAAGTACAAGGTAGATGTTTGCCAACAAACTACCGTTCCGTACCAACACGAAAAGCGTTCCTTAATGTTGATGCTGAAAGGAGGAGTGAACCTGAAATTATCGAAAGTAGATTATTAACGATAATTCTGCTGAAACGGTTCTACGGGTAATAGTTTAAATTACTTTAAATAACGAATGAATATTATGTAAAATTTTTTTTTAATAATAATTATATCCTTAAGCGAAGCAGTTCGTGTATACGATTGTGCATATAATAAACATGTATGAAGCAACGAAACATGTATGTATGAAAGTGAATGTATTCAGTAAATGAATGAATGAATGCGAAATATCAAGTTTCCCTTTTCAATTTTCACTTCGTCGTTACATAGCACTAAAGAAAATAATCATGATTATGCAGCAATTAATTTGGAAGCTATTCTATTAATCTGGAAGCTATGTGTATCAATTGTTTGTGCTGACTAATAATTACAGAGCAATTCTGCTATCGACACTGAGGAGATACTTTTCGAATATTGAAATGTCATTACACTGAACAACACTTTACGATATCTTCTTATTAATGATTAATACGTCCTCGTGATTCAACTCGGACAGTACTATAGTGTTTTTAGTAAATGCGCGTTTAATAGTAATTCTCTTTTCCATGCTATCGATGGTTATTTTTGATTCAACCTTTTTAAGATGTCTGACTCTTTTTAAGATGTAAGTTAAGACCTTTCATCGATGTTCTTTAGTTTCATTCTATCAAAGACCGATCTAGTTTTTGTTAGAAACATTTAAGAAGAAAAAGTAAAAATATTTTGCTTGACGAAGTAAAAAAAAATTTGACAAAATGAAATAATAATGCAAAACCTGTTTAGTTTACTATTGTTTAGTATGTCTAGGTAAATACATAGTTAAATCCGAGAGTGTCTGTGTAGGAGGCAAATAGATACCGAGAGGAGGAACCTCTAAACAAGTTTGTCTAATTTGCATTTACGCAGTTTAACGAATCATTAAAAGTGGCATTCTTATATTTGACTCAGAATTGTGTAGCGATGTATTTCTGGTATATTTGATCGAAAAATACTTCACACTCATTTTCAGTTGCAGAATGACGTACATAACTGTCTTCTGTTGCGTTAGTCCTGACGTTAGTGCGTAAAGCAATTATTCAGTGACGTCCAGTTATGCGCTGAAGATGTTCGCTTTCAAATTTCGGAGTTTATGAATATTAAAATTGAGTTTGTAGATTATTGGAGTTCCAAATGTGCAAGTTTAGAGATCTATAAATTTTTGGGTTTTGGAATCGGAAATTTAGGAATTAGAAAGTTTGAAGATTTGGTAATTTAAGAATTCGGAAATTTTGAGATTGGAATATTTAGAGATCTGGAAATGTAGGAACTCGGAAATTTAGAGATCTGGAAATGTAGGAACTCGGAAATTTAGAGATCTGGAAATGTAGGAACTCGGAAATTTAGAGATCTGGAAATGTAGGAACTCGGAAATTTAGAGATCTGGAAATGTAGGAACTCGGAAATTTAGAGATCTGGAAATGTAGGAACTCGGAAATTTAGAGATCTGGAAATGTAGGAACTCGGAAATTTAGAGATCTGGAAATGTAGGAACTCGGAAATTTAGAGATCTGGAAATGTAGGAACTCGGAAATTTAGAGATCTGGAAATGTAGGAACTCGGAAATTTAGAGATCTGGAAATGTAGGAACTCGGAAATTTAGAGATCTGGAAATGTAGGAACTCGGAAATTTAGAGATCTGGAAATGTAGGAACTCGGAAATTTAGAGATCTGGAAATGTAGGAACTCGGAAATTTAGAGATCTGGAAATGTAGGAACTCGGAAATTTAGAGATCTGGAAATGTAGGAACTCGGAAATTTAGAGATCTGGAAATGTAGGAACTCGGAAATTTAGAGATCTGGAAATGTAGGAACTCGGAAATTTAGAGATCTGGAAATGTAGGAACTCGGAAATTTAGAGATCTGGAAATGTAGGAACTCGGAAATTTAGAGATCTGGAAATGTAGGAACTCGGAAATTTAGAGATCTGGAAATGTAGGAACTCGGAAATTTAGAGATCTGGAAATGTAGGAACTCGGAAATTTAGAGATCTGGAAATGTAGGAACTCGGAAATTTAGAGATCTGGAAATGTAGGAACTCGGAAATTTAGAGATCTGGAAATGTAGGAACTCGGAAATTTAGAGATCTGGAAATGTAGGAACTCGGAAATTTAGAGATCTGGAAATGTAGGAACTCGGAAATTTAGAGATCTGGAAATGTAGGAACTCGGAAATTTAGAGATCTGGAAATGTAGGAACTCGGAAATTTAGAGATCTGGAAATGTAGGAACTCGGAAATTTAGAGATCTGGAAATGTAGGAACTCGGAAATTTAGAGATCTGGAAATGTAGGAACTCGGAAATTTAGAGATCTGGAAATGTAGGAACTCGGAAATTTAGAGATCTGGAAATGTAGGAACTCGGAAATGTAGGAACTCGGAAATTTAGAGATTGGAATATTTAGAGATCTGAAAATGTAGGAACTCGGAATTTTAGGAATTCGGAAATTTTGAGATTGGAACATTTAGAAATCTGAAAATGTAGGAACTCAGAATTTTAGGAATTCGGAAATTTAGATTCGGAAACTCAGGAATTTGGAAATTCTGAAATTTGAACATATAGAAATTTGCAAATTTAGGAACTCTGAAATTTGGGAACCGGAAAATTTCAGAATTCAAAAATTGACTTCGCAAATTTAGGAATCGTAAGCTTTAGAAATTCGAAAACTCAAAAACTCCGAAAACCGAAATTTACAAACACGGTAATTTGCAAGAACGAACACTTAAAAATTTCTAAACCCCTAAATCCAGAAATGAAGGAACCTAAAACCCCAAAAGTCCAAAAATCGAATCCAAAAATTCACAAAAACCTAATTTAAAAATTTGGAAATTTTCATCACCTGTCCACGCAAGACAGGTCACTCATTTTTATCACCTTTTTGACGAGGTTGTCCTGTAAGGTTGCATCAGAAACAATAAAAACAAACCTGTAATGATACACATTTCTGTGGCTTCCCCTTCTTAAGACAGCAGAAGGCTGCAGCTACTAATCGTGGTCACTTCCGTTGATAAAGAAAGATGCTTGAGAAAAGGAACGTGACTAGTTCTTTTGCAGCAGTTAATATTTAACCGCGAGATAAAACAGATCCCTCAAAAAGTTCATAATTGTTCAATGCGTAATTCACAATAATCAAATTGTGCTTTGTGAATACTATCGAAGTAAAATATCTGTGGCATTTAATGTGACTTTGTATGTAAATAAAATATCATGTACGTATTATTTGAAATTGTTTTATGTAACTGTCAATGGAAAACAGTAGTAGATTGGTGTAAATGAGATGTTTTTCTGAACTTCGATCTTCATGAAATATCTTCTATTGGTAAACGTCATTTTATCAATCAAGTTCATTCACTTATTAGTTTTACCATGAATTTATAGTAAATTATAATTCATGTAATAAATTGTCAACTCAAATTTTTAAACGTAGGATTTTAAAAAATTAATATTTTAATTTAAAAATTAAAATTAATATTTTGATTACATTACTTTTTCAGTTTGTCAGTAGTTAAATAACATTGACTGAATTAAAAATTAGCTAGATGAACAAAATATAAACTAAAGGAATAAATAACATCTTCGCAGATAATATCAGTCACAGATACATTAATTTGTTTTTCTTCATTATTTATAGCAGGTAAACAATTATAAATGAATTTGAAGTGTGAATCAGTACGTTATCGAACAAAATAAGAGATAATTATGTATTGTAAGATATAATCAACGAGATAGCAGTTTTTTTGTTTGAGTTCGATACAAATTTGTAGACTCATCCTTACAAGTTATCTGAAGTAGAAGTTAGATAAACAGATTTAAATACTGCGTTATTGTTTGAATTAATAAATAATAAATAATAAAACAATAATAATAAATATACGATAATAGCCACATTATAAATTAAAGTCTGTTCATTATGTATTTATGTATAATATAACAATTATTCAATATTCAATAATAACAGCAGTATTATATTGTTATCATGAATTTATATCTGCAAGTTTAATATCTGTGAATAATATCGTGGATCGGTATGTAGTATGATAATTAATAAATAATCGTAGTGACATAATAATAAAGTATTAATAAATTCATTTATTGGATGTTTATTTGGAAACTTGGAAATTAGGTGATGTAGGTATTTGGAAAGAAATTTGAGTATTTAGGGATTTGGAGATTTGGGGTTTGGAAATTTAGGGATTTGGAGTTTTAGGGAATTTGGAGTTTTAGGGATTTGGAGATTTAGGGATTTGAAGATTTAGGGACTTGGAGATTTAGAGAATTTGGAGATTTAGGAATTTGGAGATTTAGGAATTTGGAAATTTAGAGATTTGAAGATTTAGGGGTTTGGAGATTTAGGTATTTCGACATTTAGGGATTTGGAGGATTAGGAATTTGAATATTTGGGGATTTGGAGATTTAGGGGTTTCGAAATTCATAGATTTGGAGATTTAGAGATTTGGACATTTAGGGATTTGGAGAATTAGGAATTTGAACATTTGGGGATTTGGAGATTTAAGGGTTTCGAAATTCATAGATTTGGAGATTTAGGGGTTTGGACATTTAGGGATTTGAAGGATTAGGAATTTGATTATTTGGGGATTTGGAGATTTAAGGGCTTCGAAATTCATAGATTTGGAGATTTAGGGATTTGGAGAGTTAAGGATTTTGATATTTAGGGATTTGAAGATTTAGGGGTTTGGAAATTTGAGCATATAAAGATTTGGGAATTTAGCAACTTTAAAAATTAAGAAATTTGAAAATATAAAAAGTTGAAAATTTGAAGTTCCGATTTTCACAAAAATCGATAACTACTATTATTTATTTCAGAATAATGCAAAAGCAGTGATCCACCATGCCGGATTATTTTCAAATACTAATCGCCATCGTCGCGGTGCTCTTTTCTGTTTACCTCTACGTCTCCTACACCGCGATAACCCAATTCTGGAGAAAACTCAATGTGCCTGGACCCAAACCTAACGTTGTCTTCGGAAACCTGAAAGGATTTATCACACAGAAGAAATCGGTCAGCGACATCATAAAAGAATTATACGAAGCATACAAACATGAGCCAGTATTTGGAATATTTCAAGCAAGAACACCTATTTTAGTCATTAATGACTTAGATCTGGCTAAGGACGTTCTCATCAAGGATTTCTCCTTGTTCGTCAATCGTGGAATACCTTATTTTGAAAAGGTAAATTGTAAATCTCCTTCAGTAGAATTTAACTACAGTAACTGTTTAAACATTGACTGTTTAAAATCCTCAATGTCGTAATAACCACTTTTCAAGGTTACATAGATCTTTTAAAAATCCATGTAAGAATCCAATGGTTCTTTAGAATGGTTCTAAAAATAATAAAAAAATATTGCGAACGATTACTATATCTTGTCTTAAAATGTTTTAAACAACCAATAATATAATTTCAGGTAGAACCCTTAGGACAGCACCTGTTCCTCTTAGAAGCCGAAAGATGGCGACCACTCAGAGTGAACCTCTCCCCCGTCTTCACAAGCGGCAAACTAAAAGAAATGTTCCCGCTCATAGTAGACTGTTCAAAGCATCTAGAAAAATATCTCGACACCGTCGCAAGCAAAGGAGAACCAATAGAATGTCGCGAATTAGCAGCGAAATTCACCACCGACGTAATCGGCAACTGTGCCTTTGGAATCGACATGAACGCTCTCGAGGACGACGACAGCGAATTCCGAAAAATGGGCAGAAAAATATTTGTCCCTTCTTTTAAAACGACCATGAGAAACCTTCTGAGACAAACGTCACCCAGCTTGTATAAGATCATTGGTCATAAACTTCAACCTGAAGGTGTCGACAACTTCTTCACGAAGGTGGTGGTCGACACTATCAAGTATAGGAAGAGCAATAATGTTTCTAGACCGGACTTTATTAATATGCTTATGGAACTTAAGGAACATCCTGAGAAACTGCATAATGTTGGTAAGTGAAGGTGTGAGTTGTAGCTTGGGGGTGGAGGGATTCGGAGATGGAGGGATTTGGGGTTGGGGGGATTTTGGGAGATGGGAATTTGGAGATGGAGGGATTGGGGGATGTGAGGATTTTGGGAGATGGGAATTTGAGGATAGAGGGATTTAGGTATGTGAGAATTTTGGGAGATGGGAATTGGGGGATGGAGGGATTTTGGGGATGTGAGGATTTTTGGGAGATGGGAATTTAGGGATAGAGGGATTTAGGTATGTGAGAATTTTGGAAGATGGGAATTTGGGGATTGTGGGATTTGGGGATTGTGGGGTTTGGGGATTGTGGGATTTGGGGATTGTGGGATTTGGGAATTGTGGGATTTGGGGGTTGTGGGATTTGGGAATTGTGGAATTTGGGGATTGTGGAATTTGGGAATTGTGGGATTTGGGAATTGTGGGATTTGGGGGTTGTGGGATTTGGGAATTGTGGGATTTGGGGGTTGTGGGATTTGGGAATTATGGAATTTGGGGATTGTGGAATTTGGGAATTGTCGGATTTGGGAATTGTGGGATTTGGGGATTGTGGTATTTGGGGATTGTGGTATTTGGGGATTGTGGTATTTGGGGATTGTGGGATTTAGGGATTGTGGGATTTGGGGATTATGGGATTTGGGGATTGCGGGATTTGGAGGTTGTAAGATTTGGGGATTGTGGGATTTGAGTATTGTGGAATTTGGGGATGTAGGGATTTGGGGATGTGAGGATTTAGATATGTACGAATTTGGGTAAGTGAGGATTTGGATACGTGAGGATTTGGATATGTGAAGATTTGGGAATATACGAATTCAACAATGTAAGGATTCGCAAATGTAGTCACTCAAGAACATAGTAATCCCACTATAAAGAAATTTGAAGATATAACTCTCAACAAATAACTCTTCCATATACCTGGATCTCCCCATGCGCCAACTCATGGTTTGCCACCGCTACATACGTCCTACTACACGTTACCACACATTACTGACACATGTCCTACTGAATCACGCTAATGTACCCGCATTACCATACCTCCTTACATAATACTGATACCGTCTTTCAGACTTGACAGACTCTCTGCTCACCTCTCAAGCATTTGTCTTCTTCGTGGCTGGATTTGAAACCTCCTCAACAACTATATCACATGCTTTATACGAATTAGCACTGAATCATGAGATACAAGACAAACTAAGAGCAGAGATTAAGGAAAGCGATGAAAAGCATGGTGAAACTTTAACGTATGATCGAGTTAAACAGATGAAATATTTAGACAAAGTGTTCAAAGGTATTGTATATAATTTAGTTGTGGAATATGAAGGTTTGGTATGTGGTTTTTAATGAATTCTTTTTTAGAAACGCTAAGAAAATATCCAGTATTACCAATGCTGAATCGACAAGCTTTGGAGGACTACACGTTTAGAGATATAAAAGTTACGATACCGAAGGGTACTCAAATATGGATACCAGTTATTGGGATTCAGAGTGATCCGAACATTTATCCGAATCCTGAGACTTTTGATCCGGAGAGGTTTGAGGAGGAGGCGGTTGCAGCTAGACATCAGATGACCTTTCTGCCTTTTGGTGACGGACCTAGAAATTGCATCGGTCAGTTGGAAAGGATTGAAACATTTTAGAGTTAGGGTTAGAGTTTAGACTTGGGGTTAGAAGGAGATGTAGGGTTTGATATTTGGTGATGGACCTGGAAATTGCATCTGTTAGTTGGAAAAGGATTCAAACATTGTAGGGTTAGAGATAAAAGGATGCAGGGTTTCACATGTATTAATTTATTTAATAGTACATTAGTCAGTTTATAGATAATATTATATCTATCTTGTAAGTTTACAGATATTTCAATGTTCACTCTTAGAAATTTTGAAGTTTCTGAACTTTCAAAAGATTTTCTCCATATCTTCAAGTATTAGATCTTCCATCTTCTGCGTTTAACTAAATACAAGACTCAGACTTGTATTAATAAAGTAAAAATCGTTTGTTCATAGAAATGTTACATCGAAATTTTTGTACCAAAATGTTATATTATGATAAAAATATTTATGGTTAATTCTAGGTGCACGTTTCGCAGTTTTTCAAACCAAGGTTGGAATCATAACAGTCCTACGGAACTACAAAGTAGATGTCTGCGAGAAAACCACGGTGCCTTACAAAGCTGACCCTAGAGCCTTCTTATTAACGCTGCAAGGAGGAGTAAATTTGAAAATAGTAAAAGTGTGATGTTAATAATTGTATATAAATAATTTTAAAGTTCTATATAATATTAAAGTTTTTATTTCGAATACACTTACACATATGAAAACTACTAGATATAAGTACAAGACGTAATATTAAAACCTTGTTAGCACATTATTACTGACTTATGATAATAAATTATTAAAAAGCTGAAATAAGTGTTATTTTGTCATCCTAATTAGGTAACACATGAAAAACATAATTTTCATGATCGATCTCATTGGAAATGATACTTTTTCAATTATTTGTGAATTGTTTCCACGTGCCAGTTATCGGAGCAGACACATGATAACACGAAAAAGTTGATAACCTTGATCTGCTCGAGAGCTGAAAATGATTTAAAATTCCTCTTAACGATTCTTTATTTTTACAAGACATTGGAAAGTTAATTTTATATTTTTACTATTTTGAAGATTTTTTAGTTTTTTTATTATTGAATTATTCGGTTGACAATGCTGTATCATCTGAACTTTTGCAAATTAGTACAAACTAATCAAACTAATCTAATCTTGGCATGATTAATACTAGAAAAAATACGTACATATTTTTTAATATTTAACCACATCAATCATTCCATGTCAATTTTATCTTTACACGTCCCAGTTATTTAAGTACTTTTGACTATTCGAATTTCTTAAAATTATTTAAAATTCTCCAATTATAGTCAAAACACAGATACATATATTTCAAGTTTCTGGGTCACGTGACTAAATTTTTCTCCTCAAAAGTTAGTATCTTCATACATTCACAAAAACTACTATAATGAAATTCTACATTTTGTGTTTTCTGAAGTCCCAATTTAAATTTGTAGACATAGTTTCAACCTCATATTCAAAATCTATAATACATATATTTTAAAAACAGAATATTTGTGAGGAGATACTTTTCCAAGGTTTGAATACTCCTCCTAAATGAGGTGAACTGTCTGATATAATTCGCAAGGGAGTTCACTCTATGTTTTGAAAATTCGAGACGAATTACTCCAGACAGCTTCTGTGAATCATTTCGATGCTAAGGTCACGCCTTCACACGTGAAGCACCACTTTTGGCATTTCAGTAACACACACATGCAATCTGATCAACTCTGTCGAGGATGTTACCTCAGCAAGTCACGGTGACCGATGTTTTCAGCTCGAGTATGTGTTAATATAAGAGCGGGTAAGGACACTTATTAGCCAGTCGGCTCCAAGACTCGATACGAAGGATATTGTGACTATGTGATACAATAAAAGAATTTAATTGAATGATAAATATTTGAAGAGAACATTTTATTTGTTATGTTATCAGTTGTGCGATAACGACACAAGTATACTGCTTAAAAAAATTTGTGAAACCTTCAGTGAATGAGACATCGATTATTTGTAAGTAATTTTATATGCAGATTTAATTTTGATTTTGATTACAAAATTAATTTAATTTTTATTACAAAATTTATGTAATAACACTTGTAAAATAATGTAACTTTTATTAATTTGTTTTTATTGTGACACTTGATTAAATATGTTTATTTGAAAGTTGTCTAAATCTCATTAAGGAAAATTATAAGACATAAGACTCAGTTTCCTTTAAAGAGGAAATCTGCTTCCGCTGTCATAACCTTCGTAGATAAGTTTTAGATATCTTTACATAGTTATGTCATAGATTTAAACCAAAAAAGTTTTAGTCGATGTTAATTTTGATGCAATGAGTTTATAAAATACTTTCTTTGACGTATGACAATTTTGTTTACAAACAAACTGGATGTACACTATTCTTTCATTAGTCGGTATTCTAACAAAGACGTTGCATATGTTCTCTGTATACAAGTTACGTATGAAACTCTATCTACTTGTATTTGCATAATTAATTATGAGAAACAGGAAAGAACAAAGTAGTAATTCTGACTCAAAGTCAATATAAAACTACATCTTCTAATTTCCATATTTCTATATTTCAACTTTGTAGAATTATAAATCTGTGAATTTCTTAGGTTAGAGATTTGAATCGCGCGCCGAAACTCAAGCACTTTGGCGGGAACTTCGAACGTTTCGTAATACATACATGTTATCATAAAAAATAATAGACTGTACAACTTTAATTGAGTATGAATTCTTTAAATTTTCTTTGTAGTATCTTTACGTACATAACATATAGTTAATCGTTATAAATTTATTATAACAATTGTTGCAAGTATAACATACAGTAAATTGCAAACACGATCAGCTTAAAGTATATTAAACATTACAGTACTCGCATCAAGTATGATTTATTATGAATTATAAATTGTTTTCAGGTAATCATCGCTCTCTAAAAAGCCACTGAATAACAATGGAGTATTTTGAAATCCTATGCGGCATCGCCGCAGTGCTCTTCCTCCTTTATTACTATTTCACTTATAATTACGACTTCTGGAAGAAGCAAGGAGTAGTTGGTCCAAAACCTATACCATTCTTCGGCAATACGATAGAAATTATGTTGGCAATAAAATCAGTAGCAGAATACAGTGAAGAGCTTTATCAGAAATATAAAAACGAAAGAATGATTGGATTGTACGCTTTGAATATACCTGTTCTTCTTCTGAAAGATCCAGAATTAATCAAAGATGTCCTCATCAGAGATTTCTCGTCGTTTACGGATCGTGGATTCAATGTTAATGACAAGGTACGAAAATCTTTACTACACGAAATTTGTACAATCTCGAAAAACTTCTGTTTAACTTTATAGCTATCATTTCACTCTTTTATAGCTATCAGTACACTCTACATATTTTTCTACATAAGTTAAATAATCCTATATAATTTTATTACACAGATTAATAGTTTAAATAATCCTACATATAATTTTATTGTAAAATGAAGTTCGACCACACATTGTTTTTGAGCTTGAAGATAATTTTCGAACGTGTTGTTTAAAAGACCACATATCTATACATGATAATATATCATTTATTACATGATATAATCACACATATTTATACAAGATATAATCATGCATATTTATACATGTTATAATCACACATATTTATACATGATATAATCACACATATTTACACATGATATAATCACACATATTTACACATGATTTTACATATAACTAAAAGATAACATATTCTAAAGTAACTGTCTGCTTCATTCCTTTCTTCTCACAGGCGGAACCATTGTCCAAGAATCTCCTCAACCTAGAGCCAAGAAGATGGCGTCCCCTGCGATCGAAGCTCTCGCCAATATTCACCTCCGGAAAACTGAAAGAGATGTTCGGTCTCATCCTCGATTGCGCACAGCACTTCGATCAGTATTTAGATAAAGTAGTCGCGAAAGGAGAACCCGTCGACATTCGGGAACTAACCGCGAAATTCACAACCGACGCGATTGGTACTTGCGCCTTTGGCATCGACATGAACGCACTCTCAGAGGAGGACAGCGAATTCCGTAAAATGGGCAGAGACATCTTCGTTCCAAATTTCTTGAATGTATTCCGACAGAAATCGAACATATTTTTCCCGAAACTGTATGGTATCGTGGGTCGGTTCCTACCGGACAAATTTACTCCTTTCTTCACCAAAATGGTCACCGAGTCCATGGCTTATAGAAAAAAGAACAATATCTATCGACCTGATTTTATTAATATGCTTATGGACCTGAAAAGTCATCCTATGCAAGTGGGTGATATCGGTAAGTTAGTAGATGCAAAGATAGTTTCAATTAGTAGATGCTGAGTTATACTGATTGTTAAATTTTAAGATTGTTAGATCATAATGTCACAATCCTTCTTCTCCATGTCTTAATTTTCTTAGAGAAAATTAAATTGTGACATTATGATGTTGCTGATTAAATATTTTATCTGTGCAGTCAAATTTGAGAATTTGAAGAATTTAGGAATAACTTCATTTTGTATTTCTTTTCAGAGCTAACAGATGAACTGTTGACTGCTCAGGCGTTCGTATTTTTTGCCGCCGGTTTTGAGACTTCTTCGACTACAATGAGCAATGCTCTTTACGAGTTGGCTCAGAATCATGACATTCAGGACAAGCTACGCGATGAAATTCGGGAGCACGATGAAGCCAATAACGGGGATTTAAAGTACGAACATATCAAACAGATGGAATACTTAGATAAAGTATTCAAAGGTACGTGTCAAGCAAAAACAACGACAAATATTTATCGAAAATAGCCAGCAGTTAAACGTAGCTATGTACTCCACAATATAGCTATGTGTTCCACAACAATTTTGCTATCACTATAATACATATAGGAAACTCTAGTTACAATATCAACAATAATAGTCACAAAAAATTGATGTTGTCAATATATTTAAATATATTTATTTTTTCTTTGAGTTGATCATGCAGCAACTAGTGGGTTGACATCAGTTCATGCTGATATGAAACCAGCAATATAACGAGAGCCCTTGTAACTTCAAGTAGTAACGAATTCGATGTTGCCATCATCTTCTCTATAATTTACTATGAAATAATTTGTATATTGTTGCAGAAACATTAAGGAAGTATCCACCTGGTTCACTAGTGCCAAGAAGGGCAACTGCGGACCACACCTTCGAGGGCACAAATGTTACGATACATAAAAGTATGAGGGTTTGGGTACCCATATATGCGATACATCGAGATCCCGACATTTATCCTAACCCTGAGGTCTTCGATCCCGAAAGATTTAACGAAGATGCCGTCCAAGCTCGCCACCCTATGAACTATTTACCTTTCAGTGATGGACCCAGAAATTGCATTGGTATGTTACTTAAAAACTTTCATACTTCGATAATATGACGAGGTTAAATTTTAAGAGTTGAAATTTTGTTGAATGTAGTTTATAGTTTCTGTGTGGTATTTAATTACTGTGATTATTTGCAGGTGCCCGTTTCGCAGTTTATCAAACCAAGGTTGGATTAATCACGATCCTCCGGAAATACAAAGTCGACGTCTGTGAAAAGACCGTCATTCCTTATACGTTGTCTGCAGGTGCATTTGTACTCGCACCGAAAGAGGCAATCTACCTAAAACTAACAAAACTAACAAAGTAACGTTAAATGTAATGCTTCGTGACATTAAATTGACTAACAAATATATTTATATCATTAATGACTTAATACTCCTTCATTATCACTTTTTATACCTCATATACATTTTCGTAACCTAAGTTTACATTATTATAATTAATGCAGTAGATAATGTTTTTTAGTGTAAATACAGTTAGGTATATTGTGATATTTATTATGCTGTGAATATTATTTTTTACTTACGATTTTCAAGTTGCGTGTGTGGGAAACATTTTATTGTTGTGCGTGGTACAAAATAAAAATCTCTTTACACAACGTCTTTTATACCAGTTACTATAAATCACACTCTTGTAATCTAATCGTACCTTCGCACTCCATAAATCTGTGACTAGGAAACGAACTTATTCTGTGTCAGTCATAAAAATTATGAAACATTTCACACATTTTTCTACACTGATCAGCTGTAGCTCTTCAAGCCGCGCCAACTCGTGGGTTGACATCTGTACGTTTGTTGTTTAAAACCAGTTGCACTTATTCGATACTATCAGATAACATAAAATGATAGGAGATTACGCTGTTTTGAACCGAGACGAAAATAGGTTTCGCAAACAGTTCCGCGATAAATATAAAAATCAAATAATCCGATGGCTGCGGTACAAAAAGATGCGTTAAAATATAAAGATGTCAAGTTTGACTCCATGTATTAATTACTTTTCCTGCTAGTCATGCTTACTATACCAGTTTCTCGTGTATATTTTAATCGTTAAATAGATTACGTTAGACTCAGAGAAAGTGCAGATAAATATGAGTCAGCATCAGTATGTTAACAAACTCATTATCGAGTCATTATGTCTCATCTTCTTCATTCACAAAAATAAGAAGTCTAATTCTTTATCTTGCCGAAGATAAAAAGTAGCTGAGACACGCTGAGTGACGTTTTAATGAAATATTGCAGTCATAAAATACGATGTCATAAGGTTTTAATTGTTTCACTTAGGGTGATCCGTTTAACTAATACACGCGAATGTTGCCCAAAAGTAATGCTTATCTCAAGTACTTCGAAGAAAAATTAATGCGTTAATACGTTTGTTCCTGTGTGTCACAGGTACCTGGTATACCTTCATCAAAGTCATGACTTTTTATCAAATATTAGCTCATTTAGTGGCCTGACATTTTAGCCAGATTTATGCTATTATATTTTGGATTTGAAGGTCTGAAAATTTGGAAGATTGTAATGCTTGAACTGTGTTAAATGGTAGATACATTAAAGTTACAGAATTTTGAAGTCCTAAGGGACGTTCAGTGTTCCAAACTTAAAAATTTCTGTACTATCAAAGTCTCAAGGTTCTAACACCCCAAACTTTCAATGTTCCAAATTTTTAAATTCTCCAAACCTCAAACTTGCAAATTTTTAAAGTCTCAAATTATCCGAAGTCCCAAAGTATCAAACTCCTAATGATTCAAACTCGTCAAACCCCAAACTTTCAAAATATTCCTAAAGAGTCATAGACCCAAGGTCCTAAATTCCTAATGTCTCAAATATCCAAAGCTTCAGATTCCTAATGTTCTAAACTCCCCATTCCCAAACTCCGGAAATCACCGATTAAAAATTTTGTATCAGCTACGCCCAGTTTCGAGTAAATTCATATAAAAAATGCTTAGTAATATTAAATCCTCGAAGAGGTATTTATCGAAAAGTTTATTCCTGTGTGTCACAGGTACCTGGTATACCTTCATCAAAGTCATGACTTTTTATCAAATATTAGCTCATTTAGTGGCCTGACATTTTAGCCAGATTTATGCTATTATATTTTGGATTTGAAGGTCTGAAAATTTGGAAGATTGTAATGCTTGAACTGTGTTAAATGGTAGATACATTAAAGTTACAGAATTTTGAAGTCCTAAGGGACGTTCAGTGTTCCAAACTTAAAAATTTCTGTACTATCAAAGTCTCAAGGTTCTAACACCCCAAACTTTCAATGTTCCAAATTTTTAAATTCTCCAAACCTCAAACTTGCAAATTTTTAAAGTCTCAAATTATCCGAAGTCCCAAAGTATCAAACTCCTAATGATTCAAACTCGTCAAACCCCAAACTTTCAAAATATTCCTAAAGAGTCATAGACCCAAGGTCCTAAATTCCTAATGTCTCAAATATCCAAAGCTTCAGATTCCTAATGTTCTAAACTCCCCATTCCCAAACTCCGGAAATCACCGATTAAAAATTTTGTATCAGCTACGCCCAGTTTCGAGTAAATTCATATAAAAAATGCTTAGTAATATTAAATCCTCGAAGAGGTATTTATCGAAAAGTTTATTGGAACAAGATTCCGAGAAGATGACATAAAATCAGTACTACTACACAACCGAGTATTTGCACAGACGAAAAAAAGACTCACGAGATCTGAAATGTCATAACCGATTATAAATAAGCGGTAGGAAATGTGGAACATATTTCATTCTGCAGTCTGCTACCAACCACGATCCTACACTTATCAGCCGTGATAATAACATGGCTGACTATTTTCAACTGTTTAGCGCGTTTGTCGTGGTATTTCTCGCTCTGTATTATTATTTCACATCGACTTTCGACTTCTGGAAGAACCGAGGTGTACCTGGACCACGACCGATACCTGTATTCGGCAATGCCAAAGATGTCGTGCTCGGAAGAGAGACGTTACAGATATATATTACACGCCTTTACAGGAAATATAAGGACGAGCCTATGTTTGGGATATTCGTGAGAGGATCACCTAATCTTGTCTTGTGCGACCTGGATCTTATTAAGGATGTCTTAATCAAGGACTTCACGATGTTCGAAGATCGAGGAATTACCGTGGTCGAAAGAGTAAGTTAACATGTTTACTGTGAGATGTGACATAGGTATCTTTTGTCAAAGATAACTGTAGAGATCGCAGATACTTTAAATATTTCTATTTAATTCTGCATTCGCAGGTTGAGCCGTTGTCGACAAATCTCTTCAACCTGGAGCCAGAAAGATGGCGACCGATAAGAAAAAGTCTCACTCCAGTGTTCACATCCGGAAAACTCAAGGAAATGTTCCCTCTGATCCTAGAGTGTTCTAATCAGTTAGAGGGGTGTTTAGAGAAAATAATCGAACAGGGAGGACTTCTCGACTGTCGCGAAGTGGCAGCAAGATTCACCACCGATGCCATAGGAAGCTGTGCTTTCGGGATCAACATGAACGCGTTGTCTGACGAGGAAAGCGAATTTCGACGAATAGGAAAAGAAATTTTTAAAAGCGACTTTCAAGCATTGATGAAACTCACATTCAGAGAGGCTCTTCCACAGTTCTACAATATGCTTGGTTTTGTGTTACCTCAGAACGAAATCACCACATTTTTGACGGCGATTGTTTCGGAGACAATAAAGTACAGGAAGGAAAACAACATTGTTAGACCAGATTTTATAAATTTGCTGATGGAGTTGAAGGAGAATCCACATAAATTAGAAAATATCGGTAAGCAAATTATAAGTTCTGTTTTTAATTAGAAGGAAATTTACCTGAGGTGATTTTTGAAAATGTGAGAACTTAAAAATTTAGAAACCTTCCTAAGTTTTGTCAGCAACTTCACATAAAACGAATGAGTAAAATTTAATTCTATTCCACGAAATTCCATAGATATGACAGACACTTTGCTCACCGCGCAAGCTTTCGTCTTCTTCGCGGCAGGCTTCGAAACTTCTTCAACCACCATTGGACACGCATTATACGAAATGGCCCTGAACCCTGATATACAAGACAAGGTCCGAAACGAAATAAGAGAACACTACACCAAGAATAATGGAAAGTGGACGTACGACGACGTAAAGGATATGAAATATTTGGATAAAATATTTAAAGGTATCGTAATTGAGTTGGCAAAAATTAAGTATTCTTCTTGTTTATACATGTAACTTCTTTTTAACAGAAACTCTCAGGAAATATCCACCGGGTCAGCTTCTGAGGAGAAGATGTAATTCCAATTATACGTTCAATGGCACAAAAGTAACCATTCCTAAAGATACCATGGTTCTCATTCCTTTGTACGCAATTCAAACCGACCCTGCTATTTATCCAAATCCTGATGTTTTCGACCCGGAGAGGTTTAACGAGGACGTGGAATCTACTAGACATCCTATGACTTTCCTGCCTTTTGGCGATGGACCTAGAAACTGCATTGGTAATTCAAATTTGTAAATCTGGACATTTGAGAGTGTTCACAGTTCATGGGGTTTTGGTTAATTAATTTTTAAATTTGGAGCTTTGTAAGTTTCTAAATTTGGGGACTTTGGAATATGGGGTTTAGGAATTTGGGGATACATGGATTTCGAAATTTAGGAATTTGGGGACATAGAAATTGGAGGACTTTAGAATTTGGGGACGTAGAAATTTGGAGAGTTTGGAATTTGGGGGCTTGGGAATTTGGGGACGTAGGAATTTGGGGGCTTAGGAATTTGGAGGCGTAGGAATTTGGGGACTTAGGAATTTGGGGACGTAGGAATTTGGGGGCTTAGGAATTTGGAGGCGTAGGAATTTGGGGACTTAGGAATTTCGGGGCTTAGGAATTTGGGGGCTTAGGAATTTGGAGGCGTAGGAATTTGGAGGCGTAGGAATTTGGGAGCTTAGGAATTCGGGGGCGTAGAAATTTGGGGATGTAGGAATTTGGAAATTTGGGAATTTAGGGACGTAGTAATTTGGGGGCTTAGGAATTTGGAGGCGTAGGAATTTGGAGGCGTAGGAATTTGGGGATGTAGGAATTTGGAAATTTGGGAATTTGGAGGCTTGGGAATTTAGGAACGTAGGAATTTGGGAGTGTAGAAATTTGGGAGCGTAGGAATTTGGGGATGTAGAAATTTGGAAATTTGGGAATTTGGGGACGTAGGAATTTGGAAATTTGGGAATTTGGAGGCTTGGGAATTTGGGGGCGTAGGAATTTGGGGACGTAGGAATTTACATACTTAGGAATTTGAAATAGCATTAATCACAACTCATCTAGATTTTACACCTCTTTGCATTATAAATGTTTCTAAAATTTTTTATTTTTTCAGGAGCACGTTTTGCCATCTTCCAAACTAAATTAGGTCTGATACAGACGTTAAGAAATTACAAAGTCGACGTCTGTGATCAAACAATGGTCCCATACGTTAGGCACCCAATAGCTCGTGTATTCACTCCCAAACAAAGAATTATATTAAAAATAAGTAAAGTGTAAAATTAAATTAAGGAATGAAAGATATTATACCGTAGATGTACATAATCACTAAAGAGTGTAAGTAATGTTATTAAAATATTTATAGAGATTTTCTACTGACAATATGTTAATTTAGTGTATTGTATTGTGTTAAATATTTATACACATGTAAATAAAATAAACATGCTGTAAAGTAAAGTTTTAGAATGATTCATTTTTGTACATACTGAAAATTGTTTCTTATTTTCTATTCACACTTCAGTTTTTCTATTTTGTTCATTTAAAGTTATGAAACGTGTACCTCCCTTGGTAAGTGTTCAAATGTAGTCTCAAGCTGTGAACACTTAACGAGATCATTATGCAAAAAAATTTGGTAGTAAAATTTTTAAATATTTACGAAACCTAAAAAATTTAATATCTTACCCTTCTATAAAATTGCATAAATTGCACTTAGGAATAAAATAGAGATAACGTTTCTTTAAATACAAGCATAATACCGATACTCAGAATTGATAAAAGCGTTTAAGTATTATTGGTAAAGACAAGTCATGTACACGTTGAAACCTGTTAGCACTGCATTATTAATGCGATATAACTTGTCTTAAAATGATTCCCTCAAGATTATCAACTGAATTATGCATGTTGATAATCTTGATAATCATGTTCAGAAATAATTTCAAGAAAAAGCTGAGTATTTTTAAGAATTATCACAAATCAACTTTGGAGAAGAATAAGTTTTCTTGTGGATATAGAAATTTTGTTTAAAGATTCTTCAACAATGTTTAATTTTACTTACTATTAATAGTTTGCTTATTACTCTTTGTATAGTTAAATACTCTTATAGCAAAATACTCTTTGCATATTAAATACTCGATTTTGCAATTTGATGAAAAGTACATTTTTATGTTCCTACAAAATTTTAGTAAACAAGTGAGACTCTTGAGACTATAATTACATAGAAAAGATCAGTGATATAACACTGTGTTTTGATCACCGCAAAATGAAGCTGACCTTGCAGAAGATGCTACGTCGTTCTTTATAGATACACACCTACACGAATATAGCAACCAGTTAGCAACTAAAATACACACATTGGACTCACAGTTCTAAGATAATATAAAGGCTTTAGTCACTTCTGTATTAGCTTATTAATATTTAATTTGATCTATTTTTTAACTGCATGTGAAAATCAATATTACATTCTCAAGGTTTCCTATTTGCAGTAGTACAGTTTGCACGATGTAAATTTATAAATGTATACTTTATTCTTCCTTGTTTAATCTGTAAAATAATTTATATCTGTTACATTTGTACATAATTTAAAAGTTACGAAGAGAATTTCGAACGGAAGAGGTTGCTGAAAGTCTGACGCTTAAAATGGCTGCTGTAATATGGCGGAAGAAAATTTCAGCAAGCTAACTAATTAGTTCTTAATTTTTACCAAATTATAAAACATATCGAAATTTATGTTTATATTCCTCGATAACAGACAATTTTATATTACTTATATACATATTTTATCTTATCTTAAACTCGTACGTGTTATACCGAATATTGCCAAAAGTCTACACACAACAATTTCTAGAGTCCCATAAACTCTAACAGCTTACTCCACTTATGCGCTGATTACTGGTTATAATAGAAGCATTCTCCCTACCAGTGCTATCGTTTATATAACACGAGCTGTAATGCACAAGACCAGTTCATCCGTACCTTTAATCCGAGCCCAGTTTTGTTAATTGCTCTTTTCTCTGAATAAATAAAACAAACCGTAATTGCAGATACCGCAATCTCACCCGCAAAAAAAATTGCGAAGGACATAATCATGCCAGAAGTGTTTACATAGTTCAAAAATAAGGTCAAGATAAAAAGTAGCTGATAAATGACAGCATATACTGTAACGAAGTATAGTTGGCAGCAATCCGTCAACTGTAGTGTGGAACCTGAGTGCTGCACGACAGATTCAATATGGCGGACTATTTTCAATTACTGAGTGCGTTCGCCCTGGTGTTCCTAGCTTTGTATTATTACTTTACGTCGACCTTTGACTTTTGGAAGAAGCGTGGCGTGGCTGGGCCACGACCAGTGCCCATATTTGGCAACATCAAAGATGTCCTCCTCGAGAAATGCTCTTTGAACGAATGTATAGTGAAATTTTACCAGGAGTACAAAAATGAGCGCTTGGTCGGCATATTCGAGAGAAGGAAACCCAATATTTTATTGACCGATCTGGATTTGGTAAAGGATGTCTTGATCAAGGACTTTTCTATTTTCAACGACCGAGGACATCTCGTTTTTGAGAAGGTACATATTTTCTTTAAGCAGTCAAAATTTCAATTGGAGTTCGGTTCTGAAATTCAGTCACAAAACGAAATATATCTTCTCATGTTTTATGCATAATCTTGCAAAATTTAAATGTATAATTTGTACAATTTTGTACATAATTTAAAAGTTACGAAGAGAATTTCGAACGGAAGAGGTTGCTGAAAGTCTGACGCTTAAAATGGCTGCTGTAATATGGCGGAAGAAAATTTCAGCAAGCTAACTAATTAGTTCTTAATTTTTACCAAATTATAAAACATATCGAAATTTATGTTTATATTCCTCGATAACAGACAATTTTATATTACTTATATACATATTTTATCTTATCTTAAACTCGTACGTGTTATACCGAATATTGCCAAAAGTCTACACACAACAATTTCTAGAGTCCCATAAACTCTAACAGCTTACTCCACTTATGCGCTGATTACTGGTTATAATAGAAGCATTCTCCCTACCAGTGCTATCGTTTATATAACACGAGCTGTAATGCACAAGACCAGTTCATCCGTACCTTTAATCCGAGCCCAGTTTTGTTAATTGCTCTTTTCTCTGAATAAATAAAACAAACCGTAATTGCAGATACCGCAATCTCACCCGCAAAAAAAATTGCGAAGGACATAATCATGCCAGAAGTGTTTACATAGTTCAAAAATAAGGTCAAGATAAAAAGTAGCTGATAAATGACAGCATATACTGTAACGAAGTATAGTTGGCAGCAATCCGTCAACTGTAGTGTGGAACCTGAGTGCTGCACGACAGATTCAATATGGCGGACTATTTTCAATTACTGAGTGCGTTCGCCCTGGTGTTCCTAGCTTTGTATTATTACTTTACGTCGACCTTTGACTTTTGGAAGAAGCGTGGCGTGGCTGGGCCACGACCAGTGCCCATATTTGGCAACATCAAAGATGTCCTCCTCGAGAAATGCTCTTTGAACGAATGTATAGTGAAATTTTACCAGGAGTACAAAAATGAGCGCTTGGTCGGCATATTCGAGAGAAGGAAACCCAATATTTTATTGACCGATCTGGATTTGGTAAAGGATGTCTTGATCAAGGACTTTTCTATTTTCAACGACCGAGGACATCTCGTTTTTGAGAAGGTACATATTTTCTTTAAGCAGTCAAAATTTCAATTGGAGTTCGGTTCTGAAATTCAGTCACAAAACGAAATATATCTTCTCATGTTTTATGCATAATCTTGCAAAATTTAAATGTATAATTTGTACAATTTAATATATTACATTTATAACATAATTTGTATAATATAATATATTACATTTATAATATAATTTGTACAACATAATACATTATATTTATAATATAATTTGTATAATATATAAATCTCTTCTGATTCACAGACAGAGCCGTTGTCCCTCAACATCTTCAGCCTAGAAGCAAAAAGATGGCGTCCCCTGAGAGCGAAACTTACGCCCGTCTTCACATCCGGAAAACTAAAGGAAATGTTCCCTCTGATCCTAGAGTGTTCAAACCAGTTAGAGGGGTGTTTAGAGAAAATAATCGAACAGGGAGGCTTTATCGACTGTCGCGAAGTGGCAGCAAGATTCACCACCGACGCGATAGGAAGCTGTGCTTTTGGGATTAACATGAACGCGTTGTCGGACGAGGGCAGCGAATTCCGACGAATCGGGAAAAAAATTTTCAAGCCAGACATCAAGAAGCGAGCAATAGCTACGATGAAAGAAACTGTGCCGTGGCTGTACAGGCTACTGGGCTTTGTGTTGCCGCAGAATGAAGTCACTATGTTTTTAACGAATATCGTGACGGAGACGATAAAATATAGGAAGGAGAATAATATTGTTAGGCCGGATTTTATTAATGTGCTCATGGAGCTGAGGGACAATCCACACACGCTGGAGAATATTGGTAAGTTTGAGAAATTATTCAAGGTTCATGTTCACCTTTACTGTGATTAAGACTTTTGTGGAGTTGGGGATTTTGAAATTTAGGGGTCTAATTTTGGGGTGCAAGAAACTTAGAAGTTAGAGAATTTAGAAATTTGAGAAACTCAGAGTTTTGAGAAACTTCAGAAAACTTGAGAATTTGGACATCTAAAAAATGAGCAAATTTAAGAAAATAAAAAGTGCAACAATCTTTGCTAGAAAAAACTCGAAACTGCACACCGTTGGCTAAATGCGCGCGATCGGGGCTCTAAACCGGTTCGTTCCGCACACTCCTTCACGAAACAATCAATGGTGCTTTCAGCGGTATAAAATCCCCGGCCATTTATAATCATCCGAGCAATGCATCAACCTTTCTAACGATCAGCAGTATCTGAAACAGTATTTTATGAAATTTAGACAAGGTAACGGACGTTATGCTCGCCGCACAAGCCGCCGTTTTCTTCGCAGCAGGTTTTGAAACTTCTTCCACCACGATTGGACACGCGCTATATGAAATGGCCTTGAATCCCGATATGCAAGACAAGCTTCGCAAAGAAATCAAAGAATTCTACAACAAAAACAAAGGAAACTGGACGTACGACGATGTGAGAGAAATGAGTTATCTGGATAAAGTATTCAAAGGTATTTACACATTTTTTGTAGGTAATTTTATATTTTCTATAATTAAAAATTTTTTGATAGAGACGCTTAGGAAGTATCCACCGGGTGGGCTGCTGAGAAGAAGATGCAACATCGATTACACTTTCAATGGTACAAAAGTAACCATTCCAACGGATACGGAAGTGCTGATTTCTATAGCTGCTATTCATAAGGATCCAAGTATTTATCCGAAGCCTGATGTTTTCGATCCGGAGAGGTTTAACGATGATGTGGCTGCTTCGCGACATCCTATGGCTTACATGCCTTTTGGTGATGGACCAAGAAATTGCATTGGTAATTTATTAAATGGAATATGCAAAATGTAGTGTTTAAAATAATATCTTGATGTGGATCTTCAGTTGAAGAACCTGAGAAGTATCAAGTAGATGAAAGTACTGTGTGTAGCTGGTCAGTTGGCAGCCGAAAACGATGTGGACTATGTATTAATACTGCTGCCAGCTTATCAAACATGCACAGTATTGACATAAGACTGAATTGAACATATAAGCAGTAAAAGTACAGCCTTGATATGCAACACACCGATAAAGATTGCAATAATTATAATAATTTGTCCCTATTTCATACCTGTATTAATGTCACTGGTTACTGTTTCAGGAGCACGTTTTGCGGTTTACCAGACTAAAGTAGGAATAATACAGATGTTAAATAATTACAAGGTCGAGGTTTGCGACAAGACATTAATCCCATACATCAGACATCCGACAGCTCGCGTGCTTTCGCCAATAAGAAGTATCATTTTAAAATTAAGTAAGGTACAAAGTTAAAATGACACATGAAAGACGCTAAGATGATGCGTTCTCTTGTATTTCAAAATGAGTGATGTAAATAAAATGTGTGTTCTTTTATAAAGATTTTTATTTAAAGTGGAATATACTCTGTACATGTAAATAAGAAAAATATACGAAATATTAATTTGTTGTTTCATTATGTCTACATGAAGGAAAAATTGAATTGTGTATGCATTTGGGACGCCCTGTATATAACATATTTGCATTGACTAAGCAATTATCTGGAGTTAATTACTGAAATTCTACTGTAGCTAAATTTTGCAAAGTCATTATGACAGAACATTTCAAACACAAAGAAATACACATTATCAACACAAATACAAACAAATTTTACGATAACTCGACGTGAGATAAGAAAGCACAGATTCGAGTGAAACACAAAATATCGAACAGTAAGCGTTCGACTTTAATTGAAATTCATTCACTGCCATTATCATATTATATGCAAATCGAATATGGTTTGCATTGAATTGTTGACCAGTTTGGTTGTAGTTTTCCTTGCTTTGTATTATTACTTTACGTCGACCTTCAATTTTTGGAAGACTCGTGATGTACCTGGACCAAAACCAGTACCTGTGTTAGGTAACCTCAAAAATATCATAAATGGTCACTCCGCGATAGATGACTATATAACGAAACTGTATTATGAATACAAGAATGAACCCATGATCGGAATATTCGTGAAAAGAACACCGAATCTCATATTGACCGATCTGGATCTTATAAAAGACGTTCTGATCAAGGACTTCTCCACCTTCAATGATCGAGGAATTACCCTTTTCCCGAGAGTACGTATAAAATATTATCAGGAAAACCTTTCTTTCAACAGAAAATAGAAATTGAATATCAATATTTACGGATACAGTCAAATCTCGTGAGATCCATTTTCAGTAACCTCCACCTCAGCTCGTTCTAATTTTTCACTTAAAATTTTTTTTATGAAACTTCAAAAGTTATGTTACAGTTAAGTCGAAAGATAAGTTACATATTCTCTATTTCACTAAAGATCACTCTGCTGTTATAAACTATATTTACAGGCAGAACCGTTGTCCTTAAACATCTTCAGCTTAGAAGCAGAAAGATGGCGTCCACTGAGGATGAGGCTCTCGCCGATATTCACGTCCGGAAAATTGAAAGATATGTTTCCGTTGATACTCGAATGTTCCAACGCGCTAGAAGGGTGTTTAGAGAAAATAATCAAGGAAGAAAAACTTCTGGATTGTCGAGAAGTAGCAGCAAGGTTCACTACGGACGTGATAGGAAGCTGCATCTTTGGGATCAGTATGAACGCGCTGGCCGACGAAGGAAGCGAATTTCGGCAACTGGGAAAAAGGATGTTCGAAGTTGGTAACAAGGCACGGTTAAGAGGTATTTTGAGAGAAGTTGCACCGTGGTTGTACTGTACACTCGCGTTGCTGCTACCTTCGCACAAGGTGACCACATTTTTGACGAAGATGGTCTCGGAGACTATACGGTACAGGAAAGAGAACAGCGTCGTCAGACCGGATTTCATAAATGTGCTGATGGAACTGAAGTATAATCCGCACAAATTAGAAAATATCGGTAAACTGGTTGTTAGCTTTATCTGTTCGATGTACGATTATTTTTTAACAGAATTTATCGAAATTGTTAGAGGTGACGGATACTTTACTGACCGCACAGGCTGCCATTTTCTTCGCGGCGGGCTTTGAAACTTCTTCCAGCACGATTGGACATGCTTTGTACGAAATGGCGTTGAATCCTGAAGTGCAAGAGAAGCTTCGGAAAGAAATCAAAGAATTCTATGAGAAGAATAAAGGAAATTGGACGTACGAGAACATCAAAGAAATGAGCTATTTGGACAAAGTATTCAAAGGCAATTTCACCACATTTTCCGATATTATCTCTTACAATCATTATTACCTACACGATTTATCTACAAAGTGTAATTTTTTGCATGATGTTTGTTTCATATAATTTACTCTTTTACAGAGACACTTAGGAAGTATCCACCAGTCACGGTTCTAAAAAGAAGATGTAACAGTAATTACACCTTTAGTGGTACAAAAGTGTCTATTCCGAAAGATACTGTAGTTCACATTCCTGTATACGCAATTCACACCGACCCTGATCATTATAAGAATCCGGAAGTTTTTGACCCTGAGAGGTTTAACGAGGATGCGGAGGCCAGTCGACACCCTATGTGTTTGTTGCCCTTCGGAGATGGGCCAAGAAATTGCATCGGTAATTCATTAAATAATGTAAAATAATTTAGGAGTAATGTCTGAGACCATAAAATAGTATCTGTTCACAAGATCGATGAGAGTTTGATGGGATAAAATTCTATTACTTGTTAGGATAAAATTCTACTAGTTAAAATAAAGTTCTCCTTGTCTGCACATAATAATATTACTCATTTTTTTAGGTGCACGTTTCGCAGTTTATCAAACTAAAATAGGACTAATACAGATGCTGAAAAATTATAGAGTTGATGTTAGCGATGAAACAATGATTCCATATGAAAAGCATCCGTTTTCTCATTTATTGGCGCCAAAAAGAAGTCTCCTCTTAAAGATAAGCAAAGTGCAAAGTCAAACCAGCGATTCCAACAATGTACATATTGGCGAATAGAAATAGTCATACCTAATAAGATATACTGTAATATAAACAATTATTAAGATATTGTAAATTGTTTGGCTTTTCAAGAAATTGAATTTAAGGTACTGTATAATTGTAGAAACATTTAAAAAACATGTGGTAACAGGTTGTCCTTGTTGCTCGTATAGAAAGTAATGCAGGAGGAACAAGGATAGATAATCTTGAGCTTTTTAATTTCGCCGTATGAGGTCTCCAAAGTCACTGCTACTCCATTTTAAATTTGAAATTATCGAAGTGACAGTGACGCTATCGTTCTGTGCCAGTTTAATTAAATTGTGTGTGATAATTGTGATAATTGCAATTCTACTTTTCGAATCTGCAACAATCGTCGAATGTACGTACTTTTATTATATTTTTGTATGTTTATTTTCATTTGTTATCGCTTATTTTTTATATTAATGATTTGGCATGAAATCGGCATTTTTCTCGAACAAATTTTGCGGGAAATGTGCTTTTTTTCTGTCGACTTTCCTTTTAGTAATTATTAGAAATTTATGTCGACTTTATGTACTAACGCATGCAAATGTTTAAAAGCATTATTTAATAATGTAGAAGCATTATTAAACATTTTCGAGAAAAATGTAAAAATTATTTTTACTGTTATATCATTTTATTTCTATGTGGTTTCAAATAAAAAGATCACATCAACATTTATATTATTTATTTTATTTCATCTTATTTAAGGTGTTTAGTACATTCAAATTTATATTATATCTCTATAATTCTAGGTAATAACATTTATGGTTATTATAATGTTTCATAATTATCTTCCTTAAAAATAATAGTCAATAAAATAATTGTAAACATTAATAAAAGTAAATATTAATTCAAACTTAAACAATGGTCAATATGATTCTCCAAAGATAACATATCTCTAAAGACAGTCTCACATTTTGGACATAAGAATGTTGATACCAATGGAGGTACCAATTGAGTTGCATTGCTCTGAAATTTAAAGAATCAATTAATTATAACAACTATGCAGTATCCATACAAATCATATGAAAACTTACTTGGTTTTCTGATGCACTCCCATTAATTTGAGATTTCAAACGATTAATTTCTTCCTGTAATGTTATATTAAACTCAATTTGTTTCTGTAAATCTGTATCCATATTATTTCTTTCATCTAATAATGATTCTTTAATTTTTTTCTCGTGATTGAAATCTTCCTCGTAGAGTTTTAATTGTGTTTGTAATAAATTGGTATTTTCTAACTGTAATACAAATAGGCATTATTACATTTATGTTGCTTTAAAAAAAAATTACTTCACTAAAGATTTACTAAGGAATTTATACTTACATGAAGTGCCACTTCACTTTGTAATTCTTTAATACACAGTTTCTTCTGTTCTATACTCTCATGCAGAGTACTAACTTCGCTTACTAACTTAGCATACTTTGCTTCAAATTTGTTCTTTTCAGTTTCCAATGTCTTTTTATAATGGCTTTTATACAGGTTACTCTGCTGGTCTAAAGATGATTTTTCCTCATGCAAACTCATTCTTTCTTGACGCAGAAGTTCTTTGGCATCGTTTAAATTTTTTAGTTCTAATTCAAGATTTTTTTTCTGTTCATTAAAAATATTTCTCTCTCCTTCCAGTTTCTCCCTTTCTTTACTAAGAGATAACTTTTCTTGTTCTTCTTCATTATTTCGTGCAGATTCAGAAGCATCATTCTTTTTCACTGCACTATCATCAGTATTTGTACTCAACACTGTATCCATATCAGACATAAGAGATTCGCAGTCGTCAAAAGCACGCTGTAATTCGTCCTGTAACCCGGTAATATGTTTCAAATGTTCGGTATATTCCCCTCTTTTTTGGACAAAATTTTTACTAGTAAATCGTAGATCAGTTGACGATAAGTTATCACCAGAAGCTATTTGTTCTATCATTTCCGTAATTTTGTTTAGGTACACGTTTGCAACTATGTAGTGTTCTATTTGTTTAGCGGAACTAAATATAAAATCTCTCAACTTCTTATTGAAATTCTTAACTTTTTGAATATATTGTTGACGGTGTTTTTTATAATTCATTGAATTTTTTATACAAAACTGTACAGGAGTAGTAATCTGAAAATTGTATACAATTAAAAACTTTGTTAAGACATGATCTTCCATGCATTTACTAAATACTTACATGTTCTAATTTACGTTCAAGTGCAAGAATAGATTCTTTTAAAGAATTAATTTCTTTATCTTTTTTGGAACATTGTTCACATTCCATGCAATTATTAACTGGCTTTGATTGTTGAGAGGTAGTACTATTGAGAGATCGATTAAAATAAGTGGAATCAATAGACTTTGACAATGAAGTTTCTACTTCTAGCTTTTTTATGTTTAGCCTTTGTTCTTGAATTGTAGATGTAGCTTCCATTAACTGTGAACTCATTAGGTTTGATATACTATCCAGCTTCTCTATATCAGAAGTTAATTTTTCACATTTAAGTTTAGAATTATTTAATTCAGCTGTTAAAAATGATACTTTTTCCTCGAGTTCCTTTACAGAACTAGAAGATCCTTTTTCTTTTACGGCATTCTGTAGACTATTTGCATTAAGAATCTATAATCAAGAGATAAAATTAGTAAGTATAAAAACAAAATAAAATAATATAACATACCTCGTAACCCATTTCTATATTATTAGATTCTCCAGTAGTCAGTTTCATTTTTAACTCTGCATTCTCTTTCTTAAGGTAATTTATTAATTCTCTAGTTTCAGCAAACTTCTTTTTATGATTTTGATGAACTTTCATAATTTCTTCGTGCCAATCAGATAAGGAATTAAACTGTTTTTTCATGGCTACATTGTTCTGTTTCAATGTTTCTTTTAACATGTTGTTCTCATGTAACACTTCCTTCAGTTTCTGTTGAATTTCTTTTAAATTCCAAGAAGTTATCATGGATCCATAATCCTAAACATCAAATAAACCTTCTAATCAATATGGTTTTTAACTTTAAACATTATGCTTTAAATGAACAGACACGTACAATAGACATACTCTTTTCATGAATATCAACATAAGAAGCAAGCGACGATGCTTGAATACAGTCCAATGAGTCTTTTCCTAATACTACAAAGGACAATGTGTCATCAGAGTCGACAACATTAAAACTACCTAATGCTGCATTTGAATATGCAGGTGTGTCATCATCTAATTTAAATCTGGCCTTGCCATTGTCAATAGTAAAGCCAAGGCTTTGCAAACGACTTTCTGGTTTAATATAATTTGAGTCAATGCTCAAGTTGTCAATATCACTGTCTTGTAACGAACATGTTTCTTTTTTATCGGATGCCATGGTTGGATATTATTTGGCATCAATATTAAACCTCAGATCCAAATATTCAATAGCTCTGCAACATTACAAATTTGATCTGATTAAGAATTAATTGCACTATTGGGGTTAATATAATAATTGTACTACTATTTCAGACTTAAAAAACGTTGTATCTTATCATGATACTTAATTTTTATCATAGCTACCATTTTTACAGGATATAATTATAAATCATTTAAAAAAAGAAACAAAATGTGTTTCAAAAATGTAAATCCAGTTGCAAAGTTTATAGTATTTGGAAAATAAATATTACACCGTTTAAGTATACCTTAATTTAAACGTTATGCCAATAATTTAAATGAGAGAAAAAAACAAAACACAACAACATAAATAAATTGTCACATTATGTCAACTGCATTAATAGGTAAAATTAGGCTTTAGATTTAATAATTTAATAACAACTTATAGATAAATTAATACATTTTCACTTTTTGCTTCCCTTGACATCAAAACTTACCAAAATCATTGCCTTATGCGTATGACGTTGTAGATAATTGACAGTACTGCACTATGCACTATAAATGCATTCACATATTGTACTATTTATGATGGCGCCACAATACTATTATTCGTAATTACTGAATGAATGAATTCTGGCAAGGAACAGTAACATTTATAGTACTATTTGACTTTCATTATCCACGAATTTTCATCGTGAGTGTGTGAAAATTTTATTAAAAATGATTTTACATTACAAGTCCCTAGAACATCTGCGTCATTTCAAATGCATTACAAAATGTCTTGCAATGTCCACCAACTTTCAGAACAATATTTCCCTACTTTTATTCAATTTTTTTACTAACGGAATTTACAGTAATATAAATTGAAAATTTAGAACAGTAGTCGATTATAAATGGATTGAAATTGAAAAGCTGAGGACAAGAGATAAGAGAGTAATCTTTTCGGCGTTGTTTTGTGAAGAAAAGATAAAGACAATTTTGTAGTTTTAATTAATTGAAACAAAAGTAATATATCTTTGTGTTTTTTTTTTACGAATATTCTTTGTATGATTATATGGAATATTATGAGGAGAAATTATAAATTTTAAGTTTGTAGTATTTGAAAGCAAAATAGGAGAGATAATTTTGTTTGAAGGTTCTCAGCTTTGCCGACAGAGGTCCCTAATTAATTTCACGAGAAATCATTAGAAATCCAAAGCTACAGAAACTACAGATTTGTAGTTTTGAGAATTTGGGGATTTAGGGCAATTTGGAAATTTGAAAATTTTGGAATTTGGAGATTTTGGAACTTGGAAATTTGGGGATTTAGAGATTTGGAAATCTCAGAAATTGGGGTTTGAGAATTGGAGGCTTTGGGGATTTGGAAATTTAAGCAAATTTGGAAATTTGAAAATTTAGGGATTTAAGGATTTGGGGTTTTGCAAATTTAGGAATTTAGAGATTTGGAAATCTGAGAATTTGTAGAGTAGAGATTTGGGGTTTGAGAATTGGAGGCTTTGGGGATTTGGGGCTTTAGGAATTTAAAAATTTAAGCAAATTTTGAAATTTGAAAATTTAGGGATTTAAGGATTTGGGGTTTTGCAAATTTAGGTATTTAGAGATTTGAAAATTTGAGAATTGGGGCACCTTAGATTTAGAGATTTGGAGATTTGGGTGCCTCAAGATTTCCTTAAGTACCTCAAGGTTTGGATCGATTAATTTTATATGTGCCTCGACTGCTATGATCATTGGCCCTCAAGGTTTAAAGATTTCAACATTTCAAAATTTAGAGATTTATCTGGAATTTGGGGATCTCTGGAAATCCGAGAATTTGAGGATTCGTAGATTTGGAAAGTCAATGATTCAGGAATGCAATGAATGAGATTAGAAACTTAAAAATTAAAAAGTTCAGAAAGTAAACCTTGAAGCCACATAAGGCCTATATTCGCTACATTCGACCTACATACTCTTCAGATTACTTGATATCCTATGGGTCTAGTCACACCCTAGTTCTTACCTCACTCCATCAACTCGATACCTAACTGCTATTACCTTAGAAAACCAGTTGACAAATTATCCGCAATAAACCGTGAAACAGGGCGAAGAAGTAATCGAGCAATCGAGTATATTCTTGTTAATTTAGCAATTTAAACTATGATTTATTATTATTGGTTCGAGCAGTGTCTCATTATTGTAGTCTCTCTATGGACTAGTTTATTTATAGATATTGCGTAAAGGATATCTATTCTGTTGTGACAGGGTATTGCGTAAAGCTTACCATGCTGCTTACATGCATTTCAGGTTTATCGTATCAGGGATCACCTATGTAACCCATATATGCAACCAGTTGTTTCTTCTAATTCTGATGTAAACAGGAGTTTGAGCAACTTCGGTATCGAAGGTCGATCTGCGGTCCTATTTCTCGTGTTACGATGGGCCGCTAATCATTTCGAATCACTTTGATTCATACCTGTACACTTTGATTCAATAAGTCTTCTTTTAGAAATTAATTCTTTGATGCACTAAGCACTCTTTAGGAAGAATGAAAGGATATTCAATATTTATTTTTGGTTTTGGGAGATCAAGTTAATTGACTAGGATATTTATCAATTTTGATGTTAGTATTCTTTAAATTTATTCTTTATGTTTTTTTAGGTATTTAGTTTTAGTTTCAGCTTTACTTTGCAAGTATTTCTGTGACTGCAATTAAAATAAAAAGAAGGGAAATTAAAATGGCAAACGATGGTAACTAATGGGAGTTTGGGGAATTTGGAATCTGGGGAGTTTGGAATTTGGGGGGTTTGGAATTTGGGGGGTTTGGAATTTGGGGGGGTTTGGAATTTGGGGAATTTAGAATCTGGGGAGTTTGGAATTTGGGGAATTTGGAATCTGGGGAGTTTGGAAACTGGGGATTGTTGGGGAATTTGGAATTTGGGGAATTTGGAATTTGGGGAATTTGGAATTTGGGGAATTTGGAATTTGGGGAATTTGGAAACTGGGGAATTTGGAATTTGGGGGAATGGGAATTTGAGGAATTTGGAATTTGGGGAATTTGGAATTTGGGGTATTTGGAATTTAGGGAATTTGGAAACTAGGGAATTTGAAATTTGGGGGAAATTTGGAGAATTTGGAATTTGGAGAATTTGGAATTTGGAGAATTTGGAATTTGGAGAATTTGGAATTTGGAGAATTTGGAATTTGGGGAATTTGGAATTTGGAGAATTTGGAATTTGGGGGGTTTGGAATTTGGGGAATTTAGAATCTGGGAAGTTTGGAATTTGGGGAATTTGGAATTTTGGGGAATTTGGAATTTGGGGAATTTGGAATTTGGGGAATTTGGAATTTGGGGAATTTGGAATTTGGGGAATTTGGAATTTGGGGAATTTGGAATTTGGAAAATTTAGAATTTGGGAAATTTGGAATCTGGGAAATTTGGAATCCGGGGAATTTGGAATTTGAGAAATTTCAAATCTGTGTAATTTAAAACTTGTAAAATTGTAAATTTGAGAATTGCAAACAGAAAATGCCAAAATTTTACCTACTTTCATGTCAGAGTCTATAACAGCCTATGATTTTCTCCGTATAGAGATTCCCGTGTCCCTAACACGCGACGTTTTATTGAATCCGGACATTTTATGAAGGAATAAAGAAGAGATCTTTGCGAGACTAGCATCGAGCCCCGTTTGTCTCGAATTTTATTGGCAAGTTGTTCGGAGTGTTCGCTACTGTCGCACGGTATTCGCTTAAATCATGAACGTGGAAACATAGTATGATCACGTGATCACAGAAAATAGCAAACTTGCGATCGCAAGAGTACACGTATCTATTGTTGGCCAATGGATTATTAAAAGGGGAAAACATGTATTTTTGACGCAGAAGGTCGTCAATTCGATAATTGATTTTATGGAACAATTCGTCGAAGAAACGGGGACTCTATTTAGTTCTTTTGTCGTTAAACAGCACGGAAAAGATTCAAGGCTGCAGTTAAACGTTCTGAGAATGTTCTTCTTTTCATTGTTTCCTTCGTGTCGAAAAACGATATATTTCTTTTAATATTTCTTTTTAGAGTCAAGCATTATTCCTCAAGTGGAAGAGATTCAGTATGCTAAAAATTTTATTAAATTGTTTATGAAATTTTTGAGTTTTCTTAAGTAGAATTTTTCTAAGTGTAGAGTAAGTGTACAGTAAGTGTAGATTTCCCAAATTCTACATTTTACAAATTCCCAATTTCCCAAATTTGCACTCTCCCGAATTTCCACTCCCCCAAATTTCCACTATCCTAAATTTGCAGTCCCCTAAATTTCCACTCCCCCAAATTTGCACTCTCCCGAATTTCCACTCCCCCAAATTCCCACTCCCCCAAATTTGCACTCTCCCAAATTTGCACTCCTCCGAATTCCCACTCTCCCAAATTTACACTCCCCCAAATTCCCACTGCCCCAAATTTCCACTCTCCCAAATTTGCACTCCTCCGAATTCCCACTCCCCCAAATTTCCACTCTCCCAAATTTCCACTCTCCCGAATTCCCACTCCCCCAAATTTACACTCCCCCAAATTTCCACTCTCCCAAATTTGCACTCCCCTGAATTCCCACTCCCCTAAATTTCCACTCCCCAAATCTCAAATCCCCCAAATCCCAAATCCCCAAATCCCCAAATCCCCAAATTCTCAAATCCCCAAATCCCCAAATTCCCCAAATCCCCAAAAACCCCAAAATCCCCAAATACTCATCTCTTCAAACCAACACCAAATTCCCAATTTCCCAAATTCTGAAATTAATTCAACTTAAACCCATCGCTCGACGCACACCAAAAATCATAATAACTTACACGTGAAACAGGCTGTTAACACGAAAGTAAATATCGGGTATTAAAAGAGAAGAAACAAGATAGAGATACTTAAACTATCAGATAACAAGTTTTCCAATTAATCTGAGCCGCTGAAGAAACGTAATAAAACGCCGAAACAGATAACAGGTAACTTGTCCGACACCTAAAATACAACAGTTCAACTGTTCTTATCGCGACTAATATATTTCGAATACACGGTAGGCTGGTCGATGTGTTAACAGTTTAAACTCGATGCGAGCAATATTATCAGCACTCTGGTTTAACAGGCGAAACTTTTGGTAATAACGAACTCCTAGTATTATCAACTATCGACGCAAAACTCCGAAACTGTTCTGTTCGTTGCATACCGTTCCATTTATGCTCTTCCCATTCTTTTTCACAAATGGCTTTTCAATATGTACCTCTCTTCGTTCTATTTCCTTTGTTTATTCTGTCGAGTCGATTGAATGTTCGCTCACAAAATTCTACGTTTTCGAAACCTTACTTTCATTTTGTGAAAGATTGTTTCTTTCGTTGTTTTAATTTCAAGTGAAATTTTTATTAGAAAATTTTTAGCGTAGTAAAAATTAGGAGGTTTAAGAATTTTGTATATTTTGGAATTTGGAATAAATTTCAAGTTTTCGAATTTTTAGATTTTAAAATTGAGAAATGTACAAATTTAGAAAGCAAGAAATTTATATAAATGAATTAGCGATCTATAAACCTGAACCCTTTGCACTCGAAGGTAATTTGACTGTTTGCAAACAGCAACTTTAAAAATTAGGTAAAAAGTTAAATGAATTCTTTTGAGGTTATTATTTCTCTACTGAGGCTATTATCTTCTCTACTTCTCCACTATTATTTGTTTCACTGTGTTTATGCAACACACGTATCATATTATAGAGTCAGTTAAAAATGCTTATTTCAAATTATTGTATTAAATAAAATG